AAGTTATCGGATGGGTGTGTTTTCACAAGTGGCGCTCGATTGCAACAGAGCAATAGCAGCTAGCAGTTGTAGATGATTGATTAAATTCGGCAGGTACGCTGGACCAAGCTCGAGCAAACAGCAGTAGTACTGGAGGGGCTTGTGTGAAGGTAGCAGAGAGAACAACGAGGAATGAGAAATCAAGCAACGGACAGTTTTTTGAATCTTGGTGAGGTGATTGAGGGGATACTCTGCTAAAGAAAAACACGAGGAGGAGTCGGATGATGCAGAAGAGATGGAGAAGAGGTTTGGCGAAGGTGGAAGGGGAGCCAGCAGAGGTTGTCCTTTTAATCTGAAGACGGGATGGTCGAGACCTCTCCCTTTCGAACACCTTCCAAACACCTTTCGGAATCGTTTTCGAAAGACGCCAACTTATATTGAAACGTCTTTCGAAGACAGCTTCGAAAGTTGCTTTTAAGGTTTTGATCCGGCACAATCCGCATAAAAACCGGAAATGTGTCAGACCAAAACCTTAAACACAAAATATCGGAATCGTTTCGATATTTTTTGCGGAACTTTCGTAAACATTTCGAAAGTTTTATGAAAGCCGCTTCGAACTTCACGTTTCGAAACTCTTTCGGAGCGAAACCTTAAAAGCACCCCCGTAGTGTAGCAACCAAAAGAGCCTCGCGGCCCGCTGAAGTCGGTCCCAGGTCCCGCATCAGCAGGACCGTTGGAGATGCTCCGTTCCCATAAACCTTAGGATAGCTGTTCTAGCAAAGTTAGACCGCTGATTCTAAGATCAGCAGTACCTGAACCCCCCTCAACAAGATGGCTCCTTTTGCACATGGGAGAATACAAAGGGTGGGATGTGTGATGAGGTCAGCTGACCTATCTGCTACTGCAAAGTCCCAGATCCCATGGACAACACCAAACAGACAGTTTTGTCATCAGATCCCCCCCCCCAAAAAAAACCCAGTTTTTTTTGTTGTTCTTTAACAGCTTCTTTTCTTTTTCAGCTTTATGAATGAGTAGCAAAAAGCCTTAGAGCGAGTTTTTTTTGTTCTTCTTCTAAACAAAAGAAAGAAATCCTGGTCACCAAAATGACCAAAAAAAGGAGAAGGAGAAAAAGAAACTTGTTTGTTTGTGTCAAGGGGGGTATTATCATTTACTCTGAGCATGTTGACCAAAAAAAAAGCAAAAAAAAAGAAACAAAAGACGAGAGATACAAGAAACCTAAAAAAATGAGAGAATCCAGTGGGATGAAGAAGGACGGGGGGGCGGATGGACGTAGGGGAAAGGGGGTGGTACCCAAAGTCGAAAGGGTCGAGAGTTTTGCAAGGTGAGAGATAGAAAGATCAATCGAAGAATCAAACGGTTGCAGCAAGAAGTTAAAACTCATGTGGAAAAAAAAGAAAGAAAAAAAAGGTCTAGAAAAAAAACCATAATTTGCTTTAATAGATCTTGACATTCATTCATTAATCATTCCCTGTTTTTGTGTGATTGGTTGGCTATGTACAAATGGTAAGGATATGTGTGGGGGGGGGGGTTTCAAGTGGGTTGGGGACGGCCGTGCATGGTCGGCGGGAGCGGGGTTCAGGAGTCGGATCAGGTCACTCTTGCCGGGTTGTGCTGACCATTTAGACCGGTCGATTGTCTTTGGAAAGTCCGACAAATTCACTCCACTATTCCAACACAACCGTTTTTATCATGATTGAAAAAGGGAGCAGAAGGAGGCATGTCAGCTCAGAAACAAACATACAGATCGCTGAGAGAGTTTTTGATGAATGAACTTACACTGCGGACTTCCGAGGGGATCTTGCCTTCGGTGTAGGGTTGCAATCCGCCTTTCGGCATCTTCTTTGCAAGGGCTTCGACAAACAACCGAGCGCATTTGTTGTTGTTGATCAACGGAAGTCCTGTAAGTATGATGAAGTTGAGGGTCAAGCGCAGTTAGTGATGGTGTTTGGAGATTCAGAAATGAACAATGAACATCAAACGACAAACCAAAATCCACTGAGTTTCGACGAGCAACGTAATCTTCGTCTAGGACATCTCGGCCCCTTTGTTTGGCAAGGTTGATGACACATTGGATCTCGTATTCTTCAAACACTTCACGTAATTTTCTCTTATCCCGCTTAGGGAATTCGATTCTTTTGACGGGAATGATGGATGTTCCAATAGGATCTTGAGCCTTGAGCGATTCGAAAAACGATTCGACCTCGGGCGATGAGCAATAAAGCTTGAATCCGAGTTTCGACAATGTCTCTGCACAATACTTCAGCTCGGGTTGAGTGGTATCACCACCAATCAAGATCCCAGAGTTCTGCTTGGGCAGTTTGAAGCCGTTGGTCGAGAGGAGTGAGGCCCAATACGCCTCGTGAACATCCCGTCCAAACGATGCAACTTCACCGGTCGAGGCCATTTCAACACCCAAGAATGGATCCGCCCCTGCTAGACGAGTCCAAGAGAACTGTGGCACCTTGATGGCACAGTAGTCTCGCTTCTCCGCCATCAAATCCATCGGCTTCGGTACTTGTTCTCCCAAGATGGCAGCCGTCGCAATGTCGATGAAGTTGGCACCCAATACCTTGCTGACGAATGGGAAAGACCTCGAAGCTCGCAAGTTACATTCGATGACTTTCAGACGGCTTTCACCATCGGGCTGTTCCGATTCTTGTCTGATGATTTGCATGTTGAAGGGACCGGATATTTTTAGGGCCTTGGCAACCTTCTGGGATATTTCCTTCAATCGTGCCATTTCCTTGTCGGATAGGGTAAAGGGCGGTAACACGAGTGTAGCATCTCCGGAGTGGACACCGGCGTTTTCGACGTGTTCAGAGATGGCATGGACAATCAACTCGCCGTTGTGAGCAACAGCATCGACATCAATTTCCTGAGCGCCGTCGATAAACTTGGTGACGACCACAGGATGCTCAGATGATACCTCTGCCGCAGCTGTCAGTGAGTGTTCCAGTGTGGTCCGATCCCAAACGACATTCATGGCAGCGCCAGACAAAACATAGGAGGGTCGGATCAAGACAGGGTATCCTACGTCTTCTGCGAATTTAACAGCAGAGTCGAGGCTGGTGACCTCAACCCAATCAGGCTGATCAACTCCAACTGCATCCAGGGTAGACGAGAACTTGTGGCGATCTTCAGCGTTATCGATCATGTCCGGATCGGTACCTAAGACCTTGACGCCGTTCTGTTTGAGTCGGAGGGCGATGTTTTGGGGAAGCTGGCCTCCGACGCTGACAATGACACCCTGGGCAGACTCGAGCTCATATATATCCATCACTCGCTCGTAGCCCAGTTCTTCAAAGTACAGTCGGTCAGCCTCGTCGAAATCCGTCGACACAGTTTCAGGGTTGTAGTTGATCATCACTGTCCGTTTGCCCATCTCACGCACTTTGCGGACACATGTGACCGCACACCAGTCAAATTCTACGGAGGATCCGATTCGATAGACACCACTACCCAAAACCATCGTGCCGTGTTCATCAAACTCCAAGTCGTGCTCTGTGGCATGGTACGTAGTGTAAAGGTAGTTGGTGTGTGCCGGGTACTCAGCAGCCAAGGTATCGATCCGCTTGACGAAAGGTTTTACACCCAGAGATTGTCGTTTGGTCCGCACTTGGTCTTCTGTACTGCCAACAAGATCGGCGATTTGTCGATCGGAGAACCCTAACTTCTTAGACGAACGGATCAATTCTTCATCGACCAGATCGAGAGATTTGAGGCTTTTGAGTTTTCGGTGGCACTGAACGATGTTATCCAACTTGTATAGGAACCATTTTGTAATCTTAGTAAGTTCATAGATTTTCGAGACGGAATAGTTTTCAACAAGCATCGCGTAAGCGATCGCGAATAATCGAGTGTCTGTAGGAACTGAGAGGGCATGATCGAGGTCTTTTGGCTTGATGTATGCTTCAAAGCCCTGGTAGTTTGGATCGACTTGACGGATGGCTTTCTGGATACTTTCTTCAAACGTCCGCCCAATCGCCATAACTTCACCGACGGATTTCATGGCTGATCCAACCTCACGATTTACGTATTGGAACTTCTTCAGGTCCCACTTGGGTATCTTCGTCACAACATAATCCAAAGACGGCTCGAAACAAGCCGTGGTAGTCTTCGTCACAGCGTTTGGTAGTTCGGGAAGAGTGTGTCCGAGTGCAATCTTCGCGGCGGTGTAAGCCAATGGGTATCCAGTTGCTTTGGATGCGAGGGCACTATAAATGATGGGGCCTTTCAGTTGTGGAAAACGATTAAAAGAAGTAAGGGTGTGATAGCACTACTAACCTTGATCGAGATAGACGGGCATTCATTTCGATCACCATGTATTCTCGTTTGTGTGGGTTCAGCGCGTACTGTACGTTACATTCTCCAACAACACCGACATGTCTGACGATCTTGATTGCAGCAGACCTCAACATGTGATAATCGTCATCAGAAAGAGTCTGCGACGGCGCAACCACGATTGAGTCACCGGTATGGGTTCCCAGCGGATCGAAATTTTCCATGTTACAGCAGATGATGACGTCTATGAGATGACACGTTTGGACAGTCAGTGTTTTGATTTGACTGTGATCAGCAGAGTGAGAATACTTACTGTCTGCGGCGTCTCTCACTACCTCATACTCCACTTCTTTCCACCCCTTGAGACTTTTTTCGATCAGAACTTGAGGACTTAACGAAAGACTCTTGGCGCTCAGGTCACGTAATTCGTCCTCATTCTGAGCAAAGCCAGAACCTAGCCCCCCGAGAGAAAAGGCAGATCGCAAGATGACCGGGTATCCAATTTCTTTTGCGGCGTCCAAAGCATCCGAGATTGTTGATACAGCTGTTGAGTGGGCTGCAGGGATATCGATTTCTGTGAAGGTCGGGGTTTGGGTATGGATGAGTTTGTGGCTCAATAGCTTCGAAAGAAAAGGAATTGTATGGATGGAGGATGATGTATATTCCTTATTGCTGTAGCATTGTGGAGCCATTGCTAAGGGGAACAGTTTATGGTTTGAATTGTGGATGTGAACATACCATTGAGAGCCTTTACAAACAAGTCACGATCTTCACTGACAATCAAGGTCTGGATCGCTAAAAGAAGCAAAGTAAAAGAAGTTTCTCATGAGCAAGGGTGGCGAGTGATAGTGAGGATCCTGCTGGCTTGAAAAACTTACGTGTACCCAAAACCTGGACACCCAATCGCTCCAAAATACCCATTTTATCCAGTTGAATGCCCACGTTTAGAGCGCTCTGACCACCGAATGTGAGCAGGATTCCGTCAGGTCGTTCCCTGTAGATAAACAACTCAGTCGTATCAGCACCCAAGGCGAGCCAGATACATGGAAAGCATGAGTCGGTCTACCTACTTCTCTAAAACCCATGCCACGTAGTCAGCGGTGACCGGCAAGAAGTAGACCTCTGAAGCTAGATGGTGAGAGGTTTGGATGGTTGCGATATTAGGATTGATGAGGATAGTTTCGATATTTGATTCCCTCAAGGCTTTGATGGCTTGTGAACCTGTCAAATCAAATTAAGAAGGTGTGAGTAAGGTAACTTGATATTAATTAGGCGATTAGCAACAATTTGATACTGACCAGAATAATCGAATTCTCCTGCCTGGCCGATACTCAAGCCACCACTTCCGACGACCAAAACTTTTTTGACATCGGGCTTGTCGATCTTGGGTAAGACTGATGCGCTGATTTTCCTGGCGATTTCACTGGGAGTGCTCAGGGTGGGCTGGACAACTTTTGGATCCTGATAACGGGTAGATGATATTGAGAGAGTCCTTTGCTGTAGATGTGAGAAGCCTCGGAAAGAAAGCTGAGCAGGGACTGATTGGAATGAAGTTGATGTCGGCAGTTGCCGGGCGGAGTGGAACCTCTTCAATGGCAAGGATGCTCTGATCATGTTCGATGGTGAGCCAATCGACAGGCTTTTGGTGTGGTGGTGAACGGATAATCTGGGTTTGGTATCAAGAAATCAGAACTGGTGAGATAAGCCGGGGTTTGTAGATAGATGGTGGATGACTGTTTGTGATCCCAGAAGGGAAGGCAAGAAGAAGGAAGGCAGCTGAGGAGATGAGGGTGTGTTTGTGTGTTCCTTGAAACTTGCTTGGCGGTGTCGATGGGACTGTGGATTTCTCCCCGGTGGTTGTCTCTCTCGGGAAACTTTTTTTTTTTTGCGGCAGGCTGCATTTTGCATGATCGGGTGTATTACATAAGCTTGAATGCGCCCCCCGGAAATTGCATATATGCATTCATCGGTATGCATACACTCAAACCCGCACGAGTTGGCCAATCGGGCTGCATCCTACTTCGTCCTGAAGACCGGACTTCAAGATCTCAACTTCCAATGGTGCCAATGGTTCAGTTATCTCAAAGGGAAAGCTCGAGTTCGGGTAAAATCACGAGAGAGGGGAGATCTCATCTGGGATCTGATGTGATGTCCTCTTGGTTTCTTCCAAGGCAGAGAGGTAAGCCAGTTATACATACCGACATATCCAATGGTATTCAATCATATCCTGGAAGCTTTCACTTTCAGGTAAAGCAAACTGAATCATTTTATTATTTTTGGACATGCATCTAAAACTCAAAAGATCAAGGATGAGGTCCAGGGAGACTATATTAATCAATGAATGAAGTTTCATTTCCAATTTTCCATTCTAAACTATATGAAAATTTCTAATTGAAAGAGAGTGGGGCAAGAACAAATTGGTATTTTCAATTGAAATGATAACCTGAGAAAAAAAAAACAATTTTTTCTTAGGGAAATGTGACTTTTCAATTGATGGCTTCAAATTATTTCTGTCTTTCAACCTTCATTATATATAGGTATTGGTGAGAAGACAAATTCATACATTTGTATGAAACAGTTGTAAGTTAACAAGAATGGTGACTCATTTTTCATCTAGTTACAGATAATTTGATTTTATTTACTATAAGAATTGTGAAAAACTGTATAACTGAAAATAACTTACAAGGGGGTATCAAATATAACCACATTCACCATTATTTAATTGACTGGTTTGAAAAAATCCACCCTTTTTGAAACATGTTGGTTATAAATTTGACCCCTTTTGGGGCACATTGATTCAAAAAAAAGTTTTGGGAAAATTGAATGGTTTCTAATGGTGGATTTCCTATATTTGATACCCACTACTATAGCAGTCACAGCAACTGTGATTCATGTGATCATCATTGAGCAATGATCAAAACAGGAAAAGCACCTCAAAATCATTGAATCAAAGTTGAATGATGTTTCAGAGAAACACTCTATGGCCGTCAAGAACTTGATTGGCCTCCACTTACCTTGTTTGGCATCAATATGATTGATCAAGATTCTTGTCACACCTGATGAAGTTTTGGCAGACCTGATCACATGTCACATAGGATGTCAGACCAAAAAAGTCATATATTGCTTGCATTACATTGCCTCCAAATGGGGCTTAAGATAGGATGTGTTGAGAATCCAAACAAATCATTCAAATGAGTGAGAAATCTGGTCACCCTGAGAAAGTATGCTTTGGAGTCAAGTATTTTGGTCTTCATGGATCATTCACTCTATCCTATCAAAAAAAATTTGAAGACTAAAAAGGGTTCAATTTACAGCCATATTTTATTGAAAAAAATCTCTAACTTACATGGAGACCTAATTTTGAAGAACTAAAAAATATACTACTCAAAATGGCATGGATATCTCTCAATAAGTTAAATTCATACCAATTGTTAAAGGGGCTTGGTTAAACAACTCCCAAAAACTAGAGATCGTTCGTCCGTACTTTTTGCAGGTACCTGGTACCTCCTGGGGGGTACCCCTCGCACCCGCCCCGCACCCGCCAGGAGGTGCCAGGTGCGGTACTTGGTACCTATTTTTGTGAAAAATTGAACAGGTACCTAGGTACCTCTACAGGTACCCCCTCACTTCCCTACCAAAAATCAAAATGATGGTGGCCTTCTACTCCAAGAACTCCAAGATCCAAGAAGGTACCTTGGCTGCATGGAAACAGGGACTCAAGGATAATAAGAAGTCTAACAAAAAATCAAAAAGGAAGGTGATGGTTTTGGATGACAATGAAGATTCTTCCAATTAGTTATAAGTTGTAGATATTTTCAACTTTTCAATAAATTATTAAATATGAACAAATGAAAAAAGTGATCTGGGACTGATGTTTTACAATAAATATGAAAAAAAATAGAAAAGTAAGATTCTTCCAATTAAATGTAGATATATTACAACGTCAACAGATATTAAAAAATGCCAAAAAAGTGACTTGTGAGTGATATTTTACAATAAATATGAATAATAATAATAACAATAAAGTGACTTGGGACTCTGGGAGTGAAACTAGGTGAAAAAGAGAGGGGGGGTACCTGAGGTACCTGCAACGGGTACCTTGGGTACCCCCTGGGAGGTGTCTGGTGCGGTACATGGTATCTATTTTCTTAAAAAAATGAACAGGTACCTAGGTATAAACAGGTACCCAGGTCCTGACAAACGATCTCTACCAAAAACTGGAGAGCCAACTCCCAAGCCCTGGATTCCCCAAAAAATGGGATTCAAACCCCGAAAACCATTTACTGGTTTAGGGATCCTCCCAAACCAACCCAATTAGATCAGTTGTCGTAAAAACTGACCCCTGTGGTACACATCTTTGGTCAAAATCGATTACTGCCAAAAAAAAAAATCAAAATTGGCAGCCGGCGGGCAGCTATGGTACGCGCCCTGAAGTTTGGATGCTGTTTTGTTTGCTTGGACTGGTTTTTTGGAGCACCACTGTGTTGAGTATGTGAAAGGGATGTGAAACCTCTGAAGAGGACCTCCAAAGGCGGCGCGACGAGGAGGCACTGGTGAAAGCCCATCACCACTCTAGCCTCTCACCCAAGACGAAACCGAAGGTCAACAACACTGAAGTTCATATTCGAGCTGAACATTACCTGGAAAGTGACGCCATGTCATCAAACAAGAAACGATCGGGAGCCGAGGAAAGCTCCGCTCCATCCTCATCCAAACGGACGAAGAGGTAAGAAGATAATCCCTTCGAGACCGTCTATCTACTTCAGCTGAGTGTGGCTGATCGAAATGACCTTTTACTTCCCATTTGAACAGCTCATCGGTGAGTTTATTTATATATTTTGTGTTTCGTATTGAGATCACGAAGCTCAAATCAGGACTCATGCGCGCTTTTGTTTACTCCGACAGAGTAGCACCACGTTATCGTTCCTGCCCCCTAAAGGAGATCTTAACAGTATCGTTAGCCAACAGCCGCCGGCCCAATCACTCCCATCCAAACCAGCGGTACTAGCTGTAAGTTATCATGTTTGAAAATAGATGATCCCATGCAACTACCTTTAAGTACCCTTCACATAATTGACTTGTTTATTTGGAATCTGGTCTATAGTCGTCCGAAGAAATAGCGCGCAAACGTGCTGAGATCGCGGCCAAATTCGCTTCATTCAAGAGCAATATCTCAGGATCGGTTAGCTCTAGCATCCCCCTTGGCGGCCCGGCGAGCGTTCAGCCCAGTCCTGGGCCGCCAAGCTTGCCCAACATCGATCCGAATTTGGCCAAGAAAGTGGCAGAAGCTCGAAAAACAGTTGAACAACTCACCGCCAAGGCCAAAAACCCATACCTGGTCAGTCTTCAAAAAATCTATCTTCCAAGCTTGAGGTACTTACGCTGCTCGAACTTTGCAGTCCGGGCCTTCTGATCCAGTCGAACCCGTCTCAATGACCACCACAGGTGTTCATCCCTTGTTGATCGGATTGGATAAGGGCTCATCCAGCGGATCTGGTCCCAGCGATCGATATAAGCCTATGGTTCCCAAATTTGCTACTGTCAAGGTACGTCCGTCGTGATAATAGGCAGCTGAAAGTATTTTACCTTTATTAACTGTCTCACAATTTTTCTTGATCGTTGTTGCTCTAGGCCAATGTTGCCAAGCCCACAAGCCATGCTCCCAAAAAGAAAGACTTGTATCAGACCTCACAAGCTGAAGCCGATCCTGTGGCACTCGACAACCGTTCCAATCCTCATTTCGACAAATCTTTGGCAGGTCCTATAGGAGATCCTTCTGGGCTCGTAAAAACGAGAGCCACCCGGAGTTTGAGATTCAACCCAAAAGGAAAATACATTCGACTTGCAGAACAGGTTCGAGCGGAGGTCCGCCTAGAAGAATTGAAACGCCGAATAGCAGAAAGCTCCCGCAAGGCTGGGCTAGATGGTGAAATCGAGGCTGTTGAAAAACAAGTTAGGGTGAGTACTCGTACCCTCCGCTCTCGTTTTATGCCTGCTTGTTGACTTTTTTTTTTATTGAAATCATGTTCAGAGACCTGAGCCTCCCGATTGTGAATGGTGGGACGAAGACTACCTTCCCAACAGATCATATAATGATCTAGACGATGAGACTGCATCGAAGTTTATCAATTCCACTGAATCTCCAATCACCATCTATGTTCAGCACCCGATTCAGCTCCCAGCTCCGGGTGATAAGGACGCTGTCGCACTAAAGCCATTGAAACTCACTAAAAAAGAACAGCGTAAAATGAGACGCCAGCGACGTATGGCCGAGCTACAGGATAAACAAGATCGACAAAGGATGGGCCTGTTGCCCCCTGATCCACCAAAAGGTAAGCAACTGCCTATCAATTTGAGACAATTCTCCCGAGCTTTTATGAGACATGGGCAACTAACCAGCCTGTTCTCTTTTTTTTTTTGCGGCGCTTACAGTGAAATTATCAAATATGATGAAAGTGTTAACTTCGGATGCCGTGGCAGATCCTACAAAGATTGAAGCTCGCGTTCGAAGAGAGATGTTGCAACGTAAGAAGACCCACGAGCAAGCCAACGAAAAGCGTAAATTAACGGATGAAGAGCGGAAGCAAAAACTTGAGGACAAGAGGCAAGCGGATGAATCCAAGGGAATCTTGACCACCGTTTACAAGTATGTTCTTCAGAAACCAATTTTAAGTGACCTGTATTACTAAACGATTGATGCCAATTTACCGAACTCTCTGTGTCCAGAATCAAGTATCTTACCAACCCGGCGCATCGGTTCAAAGTCCGTAAAAATGCGGAACAGCACAGCTTAACGGGAGTCTTAATTTTTAACCCCCGGTTCGCGCTCATTGTAGCTGAAGGGGGTTCCAAGGCGATCCGAGCCTACAAGCATCTGATGCTTGAACGGATCGATTGGACCGCCGAAGCACGCTCCCGAACACCAGATGAGGAAAGAGCTGAACCACACCCAGCCCCAGTGGATGGAGAAGAGCAACCAGCCGAACCACAATCGTTAGCCGACAATACGTGTGAGCTCATCTGGGAAGGCGAGGGGAGAGAACGGGTGTTCAACAGTTTCAGACCTAAGAATTGCCCTTCGGATGCGATTGCGAGAGAATTTTTGGGATCTAGATTGGGCTTCTGGTAAGTTATCTATTTGCTCCAATCTATATATGGATCTGGATGCACTAAATCGTTCTATATCATTTTTCATGTTCTGATTGAACGTGCGATCTTCTCATTTTTCGCAGGGATTTGGCCAAAAAATGGGGAGAAGACACTATTAACTAAGAGCTACCGCAATCTTTCACGGGTGTTTAGATCCTTGTACTATCTGATCATATACTCCTAACAAATGTAAAAATTTAGAACCATCTATAGATTCAAAAGAATACACGTTTTTTTTCAGGCATTTTGGGATTGATGCTAAAAGGCTCAGTCCAACCAAAAGAATAAGATTTTGCAATTCAGCACGATCTGGCTTCTTATTATCCGTTTCTTGTTGGTCAGCGTTACATGTCACAAATTATGGGTTTTGATTGAGTGGACATGAGTCTTCCGAGGCGAAGGCAACAGAGTTTGTAGAGCCCTGTGGATCTACATGTATGTACTCAAGTTGAAGAGCTGCGATATTCCTAATGGATTTCCCTGGATAAAATGTTGATAAAACTTGCTTGATCTTGGATGTTTCACCATCTTCTGGAATGATTTTGGCGAAATGTTCATGGCAAGAACTTGGAAAGGCTAATCCTAAGGCTCGGCACATCGGCAGGCAACAGCCTCAACAACCTTACTGTGTAGAATAGGTGGTCCGGTGGCTTTCTGGTGGCAACAGTCTCAAGCAGTCCTACAGTCCTTGGCAAGGATTGTAGACTTCATTCACTTCGTGAGGGCGTATGAACAACATGTATCAGGAATCGTAGAGCTTTTACGGAACGCGTTTGAAGAGGGCCGGCCAGCGCCGGCGACCTACGGAATCGTCACAGCACATCGCCCACGTGCCCTCCGATAGATAAGCAGCAAGTTCTGCGCATATAAATCAAGGGCAGTTATTTTCTCCCAAAAGGAAAGTAAAGAAGTATGACATCTGTAAGAATCTGATCGACACAAATGCCCATTTTGTTCTTGTGGCTTGAGAAGTCAGAAAACTTTGTGGGGGCTCCGGTACCAATGGCAATCGTCAAGTATGGCCCTGCTCGATCATTACAATCATGTAAATCTTTATCCAATATATGATTTCTGCATGTCCTGGAGAAGTCCGCATTCCTCCAGACTCTTATGTAGGTGCATAACATGTTTCTGCTTTGCTTGACGATGTCGTCCCTCGAAACTGAAAAGGATCATGAGACGTGTAAAAAAGCTTTGGGTGGAAATTTTTAAACTGTTTGTCGGTCGGCGACTGTTTTCTTCATTCAAAAGAATTTGAACAAGTGGCTTGCATTTCTGCGAAATTGCCTCACATAACGAGACGCACCAGCAGACACATAAACAATGAGCAGACATTAGATATTTTTTCCCTCTGAGAGTCCTCGCCATCCTGATTTTGCTCTTGCTTCGGTAGTTGCTTATTCGACTCGCCGTAAAAAGTACTCTAATCTCCGCTGTTTCACCAGCCTCGCCGTCCTGTAGTCGGTAGGAAAGTTTTTAGTGTGGTGCGACCAACCTGAGGTTGCGATGATTCGGAGCGTTCTCCATTGGTTCATTCTTGTAATGAGACTGTTTGGTTGGTGGGCCAGTTGCGGAGGTAGTCGATCATATGTGCTAGGTAGGCTTTCAGTTCGCTCACAAAATATAGCATTGTTATGAGCCATTGATTTTCTTTATTTCTTAAAAAATTGCCAGCATTGGAGGCTACGGGAAGCCGTTCAAGTCATTATTCTTACCATGAACTTTTGAGTGATGGTACTAGTTTCGTTGACCGGCCCAGTCAGCGATTGTCTTGTCAGGAATCCTCAACGCCAACCGAGTCTGTTCCCTTTCCTTTGAATTCAGAGGGACAAAGATATCGAGAGACTGGTAAACGAAAGCAGATTGCCGACACAGAAGAAATGAGTTCACAATCTATGAGGGCAACTCGGGAAGACGGTACCTGGCCTGGCCCTAGTGGTAGCAGTACCACTGGGCCTGCTGACCGAACTCAACTCTTCAAGCCGAAGCCGATCCGTACGGCGGAACGGCGATTTTCAAAGACCATCAAGAAGATCAGCCTCGCCAATCCGAAAAGTAGAGGCTCGGCTTTTGCCGAGTACGGACCCAGCCTGAGTCAACCCGAGAAGGATCGGAGTAACTCACCCATCATTCTGGACAGTCAGGATGACATGTTGAACTCGCAACACACGCCTCAAGAGTTCATACAACCAGATACAACCACCCATGACGCTCCAACGGCTGATAAGCCGATTGGAATCAAGAATCCTAGGGAAGACCAAGAGCCTGCAAGATCACAGCCACCAGTTGTTCCACAGATTGTTGTACCATCCAGCAAAGATCCCCAGAAACATTTGGATGCTGGGGAATCTCAGCCATCCATCATACCACCTGCGGTCAAACCGGTAAAGGAAAAGACCAAGAAACATCAGCGGCCTAAGAAAGTGAAGAAATTGGTGCTTCTGTCGGAATTAATCTCGCCGTCGGTTGAGCCGCCGTCGATTGCGCCGTCGTCGGTTGAGCCGCCGTCGATTGCGTCGTCATCGGTTGAGCCGCCGTCGATTGCGCCGTCATCGGTTGAGCCGCCGTCGATTGCGCCGCCGTCGGTTGTGCTGCCGCCGATTGTGCGGCCGTCAATTGCGCCGCCGCCGGTTGTGCGGCCGTCGGTTGCGCCGCAGTCAGTTGTGCCGCCGTCGGTTGCGCCTCCGTCAGTTGTGCGGCCGTCGGTTGCGCCGCCGTCAGTTGTGCCGCCGTCGGTTGCGCCACCGTCGATTGTGCCGTGGTCAATGGTCCAGCCGTCTATGGTGCCGCCGTCTATGGTGCCGCCGTCGATTGTGCCGTCGTCAATTGTCCAGCCGTCTATGGTGCCGCCGTCTATGGTGCCGCCGTCTATGGTGCCGCCGTCTATGGTGCCGCCGTCTATGGTGCCGCTGTCTATGGTGCCGTCGTCAATCGTGCTGCCTTCCTTTACTGCTCCGCCATTTATTCCACCGCCATTTTTGATGCAAACAAGCAGAAATTTGAATAGAGATCAGCGGACCAAAAAAATGAAAATGCACTTCGATCCAATTGTCATGCCATTGAAGCAAAATTTCCCGAAATACCATTGGTATGATGACTCGAGGGTGTCAGTTTCCCCATCGTTTGTAGTGCCAGCAAGTCATAATCATCCCCAGACAAACCGAGACACCGAAAGAATTCCACCTCAAGAGGTTCCAGTGAATTGTATTCCAGCAAGCACAATGCCGAAGAACGACCAGCATTCTCAAAAATTGAAGATGCCAGTTCTTCAGTCGGCTGCTGTACCAGAAAACCTTGCTTCCAAGAAAACTTTGGAGGCTCAGCAATTTCAACGAGAGTCTATTCAAGCGCCTCTTGCACCAGCAGTTGGCGAGAAAACCGAGAAAAGAAAACGACCTAAAAATATGCAGGCGCCGGCGCCAGTTCCTTCGCCACAAGCTACTCCATCATCGGTTGCTCAGCCGTCAGTTATTTCCGCGGCAGTTTTTCCACCGTCTGGTGCTCGGCCGCCAGTTGTTGATCCGCCTGTTATTGCTCCGCCTGGTCATGCGCCACCTGTTGCTCGGCCGCCAATTTATTCTCCTTCTTTCTTTATTCCAATGATTAAAAAATTTAGCAAAGATCAGCGAAATGAAAAACTGAAAATGCCCTTTATCCATCCAAATTTCATGCCAGTAAGCCAAAACGACAAGGACAAGTGGGGGAATAATAATGCAGTCCTTCCGTCGGTTGTTGCACCAGGCCCAACTCCCATTGAGCAAACTCTGGAGGCTGCGAAACAGCCAGAAAAAGCTAGTTCTTCAGCGGTTGTATCAGCAAGCGACGAAGCGCAGCAGAGTCAGCAGGCTAAAAAATTGAAGTTGTCAGTCATTCCGCCGCAATTTATTCCGCCTCCAAGTTACAATAGACCAGCAATCAACAATGTGAAGAAAGATCAGCGGGCTGAAAAATTGAAAATGCCCTTTGGGACGCAAGTCAATCCGCCCAATTCAATGCCAGTAAGCAAAAATTCCAAGAAAGACAAGTGGGATAAAAGGTTGAAGATGTCAGTTCTGCCGTCGGTTACTGTCCCAGTAAACCATGATCCCAAGAAAAAATTGGATACTGAAACAATTCAAAGACAAATTGTCACGCCGGGTATGCCGATAAGGGAACTTCCTAAGAAAGATCTGAAGGCTAAAATCTTGGAGACGCAAGTAGTGACAAGTCAAGCAAGCAGACAGACTTCCCATCTATCCTCTAAAGTTTCCGAATTGGAAAATTTATCCGGAAATTCCCACTCTTCTGTTGCTTTAGTTAGAGCTCAAGATGCATATGCTTACTATTCCCACCAAGCATTAAGCTGGTTCCCGTCAGAAGTGAACCCAAAAGCTGCACGTGGCAGCAACACACTTGCGCGACTGTTTTTGAACAGTATCGGTGATCTCAAGGTAATGGACACGCTAGCAAGGATGCATGGTTCAAAGAGGATCATGATCCCATTCACTTACGACTTGATTGCGAAGGATTGGAGAAAGGGAAACTGGACAAGAACCAAAACCCTTTGGGAATTATTCTGGAAGAAATTGGATGAAGCTGCGGAGAACGCTTCTGAGGAAGAGGTTCTCATGGCATTTCTCTGGATTTCCGATTACATTGCCGAGACTGTAATCCCTAGTTTGGACGGCTTTTATACCTATGAACAAAGAATTAGACAATGTGCCCTCCACTTGAATAGTCGACAAGCCGCGCTGCTCAAATATATGTCTATTGGGACCGCTAAAATTTACCAAATGAAACCAGATTACGCGGATGAAGCAGCCGAGCAAATTTTTAGGAGTTTCCTTTCTGACAGAGCAAGAAGCGGATTCGGAAATCTTGAACATCCGGTATTAAGTCATCTCCATAAATTTGTATTAAGAAAACTGGATGGTATTGCGGAAGAAATAATAGAGAAGGGATGTTTGCCAGAAGAAAGAGTTGGTAAGATGCCAAGGATAATATCTGGAAGTGATAAAGCCGACCCAGTTTTGTTCTTCATGGGAAATGAGAGAAGCTCGATTGGGGGCTATTCAAAGCAAACGCTCGTCGAAACTTCAGATTTGGACCCATTGCTGAGAGCTTTAACAGACATGGTTTTCACAACCTACCAACATCAACAAGAATTTATGTTTCAACCTGAAAGAATCCAGAGGTTCTTTTTTGAGAGAAATCTCTATGCAAGGTCAAATTAACAAACATGTCATTTTTAAAAAAAAAATCATGAATCCCACACAAGGAATTGTTTGATTTTAATTTATTGCAAACTCAAACATAATACAAGTTTTGTAGAAATACTTGATTGGAGATCAACAGTACATGAATGACTTATTCAATTTTTCTTCTTTTATTTTGATTTCTCTTCAACTCATCAATCATATTCATTTAAGTAATCTCTTGGTACTGTAGTAATCCGGCTTGAACCTTTCTAAGTATTATCTCTCACTCAAATGAATGCAGCTTGGAATCAAGTTCAAAATAACTAAATTCTGGACTGAGCAGAGCAAGATAGACAGCTGAGGTCTTTGATGCAGCTTGGCCCAAAAATATTGTTATGAAATTCTTGAAACCATTGGATTGCACTGTTGTGGTTGGGTGTCAAGTATCTCATGAGGAGCAAGTTCCAACTTGATTTGGAGTCTCCAAATCTTCTGCAGACAAAGGGATCTTGTGAGAAGGAAGAATAATTTTGTTTTTGTGTCTCTCTCACAATTTAGCATGCTGTTGCATGGTATAATTTGTCACCGATTCTTTCAATCCCAATCCACATTTATTCAGAGATAAACTGGAGCGATAGAGTCAGGATTTGACTGAGCTAGCAGTTTGTCTTTTGACAATAGTCATGCATAGTAATACTCGACTCCGGCTCAGCCTGGAGAAGACCAAAGACGGCTTCAAGCAATCCATCTTGAACCAAGACGGTAATACAAAATCTGAGGAATCGCAAGACCCGGAAGCAGTTAAACACACTAACAAATCCAGAACATGTCTTAGATGCAAGGCAAGTTATAAAGCTCTCAACTGTTTTCTTCCAGTCGGCTTTTGATACAGAGAACATAAAGACTTGGCAAGCTTTCATTTGTCGCAATGACTATGCGGGGGCGCAGTTGTCCGATGGAAAAGAATCGAGGTAGGACCCTTGGCGTACAAACTTTGAGGACTCGTATGAGCCAGGACCCAGATATTTTGATCGAGTATACGTACCGTTTATTGGGACGTGAACATTAACCAGTACACAGTTTCCTGATGGCAAGAACCACGGCGCGCTGAGAAGTCCCGATGGACTTACTTGTTCGTTTCCTCGAGTCGGTTGAGAGAACAAAAACGTACTCAAATAATGCGAATTTCTGATAATACTGCTCACTGGAGGGAGACTTCTGGCATACAAAGTTTGAGGAATGGAAAGACCCAGACGAAGAAGTACTGTTGGAACATTTACTTAATTGTATCATGGGATGAATGCGCAGACTCACCACAATTTTTCAGTATTAATTCTGAGAAACAGCGGCATCTTGCCTGAGGGTGTGACCTCATGATATATCCCGAGATGTGAGCAGGTAGGTTAAATTTTAAGTATTCATCCGCCTGGCTCACTCCTTCTGTGTCTAACCATCCGATTTCAATTGTCATCTTCAGACTTAATTTGAACCAGAAAGAAAAAAAAACGAGCCACCAGTAGTCATGTTATTAACCCAGATCTTAGTTATCTTCCAGCTCTCGCATTATTATTGTGTTTCAGCTCATTCACTTTCACTCTCAAATGAATTACTCAAGCGGGAATTTGTCAAAGCTTCTGAAGGTTCCCACAGCCACGTACAAATTAAGAGAAGATCAATTCCTTCAGAGGGTCCAAACTGTGTGTCAATTTCCACATGCAGAATTTGGATGGAATGACAAGACTAATCATTGTTTCATTTTGTAACTTGATAACTGATCTCATAATTTGAAGTTGTTGGGTTTGCAGGTTTGTTTTTTTTCAATCTCAATGAAACACATTTTGACATCAAGAAGACCACTGACCATTTTCAAATACCAGAGACAGCTGAGGGGATAGCCCAGCCCAAAATTTTGACTAGAGAATATGGTAAGCAGAATAATATAATAATACTGGGTACTTATGCAACATATTTTTGATAATATATAAATCCTGATTCTTATTTCTCAAATCACAATGAAAAAAATTCCAATATATCATCTGGAAATAATCCAAAATGCAAAATTATTTTGAGGATCAAGTAGCAGAGTTCCCAGACACAGGAAGCTCACAGTGTAAGTACCATAATCAAGTATGATGTTATTTCAAATTAAGAATTTGAATTATCATCATTGAATCATCAATAGCTGGAGGCTCCAAAATAAATGGTTAGTCAATTTTTTCCATGTGACTGATGAGTTTTTTGGAAAAGAAGAAAATGAAATCACAAAGGATTCAGCCACCCATCCAAAATATGGGAAAATAAATTGAAGATAAAACTGAACTTTTTTATTCACCAAATCCTCTTTGCATAAAAATCAGTACAAGAATCAGGAGCATCAATGCATGAGGGCCATGAAGGTACTTGATTTCTCTCTCACATGGTCATTCTGAGAAATAATAGGTTTCATTATCATGGCTTACTATGAATCCAACATGCTAGATTTGTTTTATGGAAGATTAGGTAAGTTAAATTTACAAATGAGTGTCACATCATTCCACTTTACAGACTCATTTTCAAAACTTGTAAGGTGAATTTTCAAAAAACAGAGAATTAGAAAGCAAATTTAATCATGGAAAGATGATAGATCAACAAGAACATGAAGATTTTGATAGTATAGCAACATGGTCTGAAGGTCAATATTCTCAATTGATATCAAAGCTTGAAAGTTTTGGATAATAAGTTCTAACTTCTATACTTCATTCCTGTTTTGAAAAAGATGAGGATCATCCTGACAATTATCATAAGGGTTATGATGAGAGTACTGAAAAGAAGAAGAATACAAAAAAGGGATTATTTGGTGTGTTTTATGTGTTTGATTTTCTTTTTGTGAATTAGGCCATGCAAATCATGTTGCTGAAAAATGATTTATATCCCTTTTCTAAAAACCTATTACCATTGGGAAATGTGATGAAAACAGGAAATAAATTTGAGGTATTCCAATATCACAGAGGTCCATTGGAAGCTTCTCCTTCAGAAAAATCCAAACTTTCCCAAAAAATCAAAGGAGTTGCAAAAAAGATCAAAGGTAGTGTTGGGATAGGAAGAACAATGGGCTCTTCAACTAATGAAGCTGCTTCAAAATTTGTTCAAACAAATGGATTCAGATTATATTTGGATGCTCAAAAGGATGATGTGTTTAGATAATTTGATTCTTATGCTTCAAATAACTCTCACATACATCAGACAAAGCTTCCCATCAATACGGAAAAAAACTATGATAGCCATGATCTTATACCTCTATTCCTTCTATATTTCAACAGAAACTTCCTCCAAGTTTATGCTGGATTTTCTTCTTGAAAAATCATCCTTCATGGATTTTTGTCCTATTTAACTTTTACCAAGTGTTTTGGTTTCTGGAATCAAGGGTGGTCTGTTAGGTTAAATTGAATAATTGGTCCACAATTGCTAGCATCTAGTATTCAGTAACAGATTTTTTTCTCAACTTCTATCTTTTTATCTCAATGATGATTTATAATGTTTGGCTTTTTCTAAGGATTGGCCATTCTTTTAAACTATTTATTTTTTGATTCTGTCATGAGCTCAGATTCTCCATGACTCACCTATAAGATCTTGGACGTATACAAGGAGGTGAAATATTTCTAATCCTTGAAAATTGGGATACATGTTAAAAGGGGGTAACTTCAAGCACATTGTAGGTCCATTTAAACCTCCAGTGGTCAACAATGCAAGTATGAATTACCAATATTGTTATGGCAACATTATTGCATTGTTTTTTGCACAATACCAAAACCTATATGTAATTGTGTGTGTGTTACTTTAACCAGTTGTTTTATTTCAATTTTTGGAGGACATTACACCATGGCACTGGGCACAGAAGTTTGATGTACTGTAATGGGTTAAAATACAGGGAGTCAACACAAGTAAAAAACCAAAAATGGGGATTTAAATTTTTGGTCCTATGAGTATACTATAAAGTAGGGTTCCACCAGACGTTGTTGACACCACTTGTGAAGATCTGAGCAACACTCTTGGCTGGAAAAGCTTCAGGGCTCCTGACCCCTCCTTTTGTGCCTTTTTTCCTTAAGAAGAGTTCCTTTTTTCTTTGAATATAGGATTAACCAATTGGTCCCCCCCCTGAAAAAGGCTGTGTGACATGGAAAATGGGGCTCAAAGAATGTATATGAAAAAATGATAATGATAAACAAGATTACAAAATTTTCAAAACAGTAAAAAGGAGAAAATCACAAAAACTGACTGCTTTAATATTTCTTTCAGGAAAAGATGAAATCTCTGAAGTGATAGTATGAGATCTGGAATGAATAATGAAAAGTGAAAATTTGGAAAAAAATGACCACTTGATGGTTTAAAAAGGGAGCCTAGGGGGTCATTCATCAAGAAATGTGGCATTCTGGTACTGCAATATACTAATTTTGACTGCAGGGTGTCTACCCACCATGCTCAAACTTTCTTTGGATAAATATTTTGTGAAAATCTGCGAAACAGTATTGCCAAAACCAAAACCAAACTAGGAAGAGAAAGGATCAGAATCATACAAGGTAGAAATAAAAAACACCAGAATCAAAAGCATGAGAGAATATTTACCACAAAAAGAGAAAAGATTGCAAGAAACAACTGAGCAAGAGATTTAAAAGTGAAGAGGACACAGGACACAGAGCTAGGAACATAAACATTAGTTGATTGATGAATTGACAGGTCATCACAGAAGTTCTTTCTCATTAAATAGGATCAGTCAATGTGATCCTAGATTGAGAGAGTTGAGTTGATGTAGTGAATGAGTTGATGAGAAGTCGAGATAGGGATTGATGTTGAGATGAGATTGATGATTCAGAGATTGGGGTAGGCAAGATTGAGGGAAGTGAACTGCGTGAGGGTAGCAAGATTGGGGAATCAGCTGGGTGAAGTGTGGCAAGATTGAGGGAAGCAGCGGAATGAAGACTGAGATTGAGTTCTGGCTGAGTGAGGAGAGATTAGGTTTAGGCTTTGTTTGATGACAGATGGAGTTTGAGCTCAAGGACAGGAATCATTGAAGAAAGAAGCAGGTGGAATGGAATGGAAAAGAATGAGTAGAGGTCAAGATTTCACAGAGGGATCACGAGAATTTCAACATATTTTTCATTTATAATCATTCTTTTCATTTTACAAACTTTCCCTCTGTGTGTTCACTTTTCACTCAAACAAAAAATAAGTTTTCAAAAAAAGCTGATTTCCTTTTATCTTTTTCACAAATTTTCAAATCTTTTTTTTTCATTTTTTTTTCATATTCATTCTTTGAAACCCATTTCCCACCATTACATGGTTAAGCTACCCGCCATTCCAGAACCAAGCTATCTCGGTTCTTGGCTGGCGTGCAATCCCACCCGCCCCTCAATCAAGGGTGGGTTATTCTGCCTGCCCTTTGGAAGCCTGAAAAAACAGGATTCCGAGGGGCGGGGGTGTGGGTGGGCCGGGAGGGGGAGGGAGTGTGTTTATCAACGCACACTGACCAAGGGTGAATGAACTTGACAATATGATCCAGTTCTTCAGCTTCAGTGAGTGTTTGGTAATGGAATTTGTGAAAATTCCAGCCCAGCCTCTCATCATGTCCCAATGTCCAAAAAAACAGAAATGAAAAAAAATCTAAGACAATATAACAGTGGTGGGCCGCTACGCTATGCTACACTTTTGGCCCAAAAAGTGTAGCGTACAGGCACTTTTTTGGCCAAAAATTTGTAGTGTTAGCCTTTTTTAGCATATTTTTGCTACATTGGGCTGCCCTACAGCAGCGGTGGGCCGCTACGCTACGCTACGCTTTTGGCCCAAAAAGCGTAGCGTAGCGGCGCTTTTTTTGCGCCAAATTTTTGTAGTGTTAGCGCTTTTGTAGCGCATTTTCGCTACGCTACGCTGCGCTACAGCGCTTTTAGCGGAAAAAGCGGCTAAAAACCGCTAAAAACGGCTGTAGCGCAGCGTAGTGGGCCCTTTTTTGTGGCCCACACGCGTAGCGTTAGCGGTGTTGTGGCGGAATTCCGCTACGCTACGCTTAACGCTAACGGGAATTCCGCTGCGTTACGCTACACTAACCGCTACGGTTAGTGTAGCGGCCCACCGTTGCCTACAGGGCCAAAAAAGCACTAAAAAGCGTGTTAGGGTAGCGTAGTTGGCCCTTTTTTGAGGCCTATGCGTGTAGTGTTAGTGCAGATGTGGGGGAATTCTGCTACGCTACACTAAAGTCTAGCGGAATTCGGCTACACTAACACTATGGTTAGTGTAACTGGCCCACCGTTGAATATAATTCTGAATGTGTGGCCCAAAATATTCTTATTAGGGGGTATCAAATATAACCAAATCCACCATTATGTAATTGACTGGTTTGAAAAAAACCACCCTTTTTTAAAGGTGTTGGCTAATATAATTTAACCCCTTTTGGAGCCCATAGATGCAAAAAAAAGTTTTGGGAAAAGTGCCTGGTTTTGAATGGTGGATTTCCTATATTTGATATCCCCTATTGTATTTTAAAGATGAAATGCTTTATAAAATAAAAGTATTGAGAGATGTAAAGAACAGACACTGGTTAAACAGGAACATGAATCCAAATAATTGCTCAAACGCAAGGAAACTCAAATCTCTTGGATCTCATAAACATTTTCCTCAAGTCTGATTTTTGTGCCAATGAAATACAGGCAAACTTTCATTTTTTGGAACACAAATGTGAAGGTTCAGTTTCATATGGAAAAGAATTTAGATAGACATGGTGTACAGTGCCTAGACAGTAAAAAGTGGCTGCTTATTTTGGATTCCAGAGCTCCAAAACACAAATTTGAAATCATGAGACTTGGTCAGGTGGTGCATAATAGGTCCCAAAAAATGAATATGAAATAATAAAAGCAAAAAATAAAGTTTCAAAATCTGTGAAAAATAACACACACATACAAATTGATTTTTTTTCAAAAG